CGGAACCAAACAATAAGGTGTAAAGGGTACCACTGGGCTACCCTGGGTTTCGGGTTTGGGGTTTCCTGTCGCAGTTGCACACCCTCTCCAAACTCAGAGAAAAGCCCAACCTGAAACCTTTCACCTTCTGACACCCGCCGTCCCAGCACCAAAGATTTCTCTCTCGGTTTCTTTAGGTGTTTGGGGTTAGGATGTTCCCCCTTATACTAGCAGTCCTTGAAAGGGATTATAGTACCCCCCCCCCCCCCCCCATTCTAATCCCAATTAAGGACTGTTAGTATATGTAAACGGGAACATCCCAAGTTTGGGGGGACAAATATGAGGCTGTCGGGCTTAGGGCTGAAGGTTCCCAACGGATGTTCACCTTGCTTACGGGCTTGCTGTCCATCCTGAGGGAGGCAGTTTCTGTTGCCGATTCAGGCTTGTTTTAGCCTGCACCCTCGACGCCCGAAACCCTAAACCCTAGAGCTCGGACGCCCGCTAGTATTATTTGGGGAGGGAGGGGGGGGGGGGGGGGGGGCGGTGCTATAAATGTGCAAGGTAAGGCTGAGTATATGGGCAGTTCTCTAAATTAGGGAGCTTTTTTGGGTGCCCTACATATTTCAAGTAGGGGTCGCCATGTAATAGTAACCCCAAAAGGGACCATGACTTAGAGAACTCACCGTGTAGGTTTCCTTGCACATGTCGCTCAGCGTCCATGTGGGGTGTCCTTTCTGCGGATACTAGGTAATAAAAAAAGACCCCACTTTCTGTGTCCTTGGTGGTTGCCCCCCTCTTAGGATCCAGGGTAACACAGGGTTAGGGTATTAGAACAGCTTCCTCCCCCTAGTTTAGAGGACCAGAATCTTGGCCAAGGTTGGAAGCTGGCGCACGCACCCTAAACTTATGTCAGCCCAACTCCCTGAAGAACCCCAACGCCTATTTCTAGGCACTTTTTTGAAGGCCCCTTCTGGGAACCTTGTAGGTAACCTACAAAAACCATAGGTTTGGGGAAGTCTTTTGAACAAAGGTCGCGGCACCTTCATCGTCGTCCATGGCTGCAGCAGCTGCCCCCGGGCCGAAGATGGGCACGAGGCGTCGAGGGCTGCTCTTGGCTTCTCAACTCTGGTTTGATGACTAGAGTCCCAAATCCTAAACCCTGTAGTTCTTGGGGTGAGGATCCAGGCTTTGCTCCAAGGTTCTTCGCCTTTGTGTTCTACGGTGGCCCTACCCTGAACTGAGCAGGTGCTAGCATGCACAGTCTATAAGGCGAAATCTGAGGTTCTGCTACCCATGATGTGGTTGGCTGGTCTCTCTTCATGGCTACACCGTGGATGGATCTAATCTTCGCAGCTGCCCTTGAGCAAGTGCTGCAGGCGGGTTTTGTAAAGGGCCTCGGGTTGCGGGTCTGGGGTTTTGGGGCTTCAGGCTTAGAAGGGGTTCACAGGGTTTAGACACTTCGGAGGTTTAGGGTTTAGGGTTTAGGGTTTAGGGTTTAGGGTTTAGGGTTTAGGGTTTAGGCTTAGGGTTTAGGGTTTAGGGTTTAGGGTTTAGGGTTTAGGGTTTAGGGTTTAGGGTTTAGGGGGGCGTGTCGTGCCTAGGGGCTTATTGGTCTTGGGGCTTGGGCTTTTACCGTGCAACCCCTACACCCGAAACCCTGAACCCCAAGCCCCAAACCCTGCACCTGAAACCCTAAACCTCCCTAAACCCTCAACCTTCCGTGGCTTTTGTAGGGGCTCCGAGACCTTGTCAGGCTGGAAAGGTATCAAAGCAAGAGGTGTCTGGGGAGCATTAGCGGGCGAAAGTCAGCTGGAGGGTAAACCCTAAACCCTAAACCCTATACCCTAAACCCTAAACCGCTTTTTGGGGTGGGGCTTAGGATTTGGGATTTGGGGGGTTTAGAGCTTGGGGCTCAGCAGAATATGGTTCTAGGGTTGAGGGTGGAAATTCTTGAAGTGCCACCGGCAAAGTTCAGCGGACAACGTCGAGCCGCGAAGATCCGGAGTTGACCCTGCTTCGGTTTAGGGTTTAGGGTTTAGGGTTTAGGGCTTAGGGTTTAGGGTTTAGGGTTTAGGGTTTAGGGTTTAGAGTTTAGAGTTTAGGGTTTAGGGTTTAGGGTTTTAGGGTTTAATTAGGGTTCAGGGCTTTTGGGTTTAGGGTTTAGGGTTTAGGGTTTAGGGTTTAGGGTTTAGGGTTTAGGGTTTACAGTAGGGTTTGGGGTTTAGGTTCACGGTTCTCCCCTGAGGGGTAGAACCGGTTCGAGCTCCAGCTGCCTTACGCCTAATCGCCGCTTAGAATACCCCTGAACCTGGCCCCTCTGAAAAATATTCCTGAATATGATCCTCTTAAACCCAATAAGAGAAAATATATACCCTAAACCCTAAACCCTAAAGCCTATAACCTATAAAACCCTAAACCCTAAACCCTAAACCCTAAACCCTAAACCCTAAACCCTAAACCCTATAAAACCCTTTGGAGTTTTCTTTGGGCCTCTCTCCGGATCCTCCATGGGACCGTCAGCATCAACCGCATGCGCATAGGGTGAACACGCGGAACCCTGCAGCTAGTGGATTAGGATGGGGGCTAGGTGGAAGTAAAGCATTTAGGGTTTAGCGTTCAGAGTTTAGGGCTTAGGGTTTAGGGTCCCTACAAAAGCCGCATGGGGTCAGCCCTTGACATCCGCATGGTTGCTGTAGGGCTTCTAGGGGTTCAGGGTATAGGGGTTTATGGGGTTTAGGGAAGTTGATGAGACGAAGGCAGGAGCCGAGCGATCAGAACTCGTTCCTTGGTGGTGTAAGCGGAGCCCCGCTTGGAGGGCCGCTTGACCGACCCAGCTGCCTTGCCAGCTCTTCGCAGAAAGACTGGCACCTCAGGGGTTGGGGACTCGGGGCTTCCGGGAGACTTTTAGGAAACCCTAAACCGTCAACCGTAAACCGTAGACCCTAAACCCTAACCCTAAACCCTAAACCCTAAACCCTAAACCCTAAACCCTAAACCCTAAACCCTAAGCCCTAAGCTCCCTAAACCCTAAACTTCTTTGGTAGGTTGCCCAGAAACCTACGAATGGCCAAGGCGGAGTTTGCAACTGGGCACCCCCCCCAAACCCCTGAAATTAACAAACGTCCCATGGAAACCCGATACTCAGTTGTCCAGTACCTAGGGGTTTTAAAGGTTAACCTTTGGGAATACAAGGGGAATATATTAACCCAAAAAGGTTACAGGTTACCTACTCTACTACTAAGGATAAACTTGCAGCATCAGAAAAGTGTGCCTTCAAACCTCCCTGAAAGCAACAAGCCTACAGAGCCTGCCCAGAGCCGCGCGGCGTAGGATTTTTCAGGCGTTCAGGCTGTGTAGGGTTTCGGGGATGCAAGGGTTTGGGGGTTCGTTATCGGGCTTTAGGGCTGTAGGGTGCTTGTCTTCCCGACGCTGGGAGGTGCCAGGAGATGTCTGCCGACGGAACTCCCAAGCGTTAGAACCCCGTACTCTACTGTAGATATCGGTTACTTCAGAACTTGATGATGAGTTTTACAGCAGGAGCAAAGAAGGCAAACCATGAACCTCCAAAACAAAAACGCCAAGCCAAGGAACCCGAGCCAGCAGGCCGCCACCGCCAGCAGAACGTTCAACAGCCAGCGGCCGGGCCTCTGGGCCAGGGGCGTGGCGGCGCAGAAGACCAAGCCCGGAAAGACAAACCTTGGAGAGGGTCTACAGCATGTAGGGCTTCTTATGGGGTTTCAGGGTTCGAACTTAAGCTCACGAAATGTAGTTTGCGCCTCCAAAGCCCTCCATTTCAAAGACGTCAACCCCCAAAGCCAAATCAGGAATCCTCCCCACCTAAGATCAACGGACGGTAGACTTGCAACGAATCATGCCTATTTTTTTTTTTTTTGTGGGGGGGGGGGGGTTGGATTTTCAGGAAAGGTGGCGGAACCCTAAGCTTCACCTTCTGGAACCCATAGGTCAATAAGCCAGGGCTTAGGGTTGTGGGGCTTCTCATGGGGCTACGAAGCTCCAAACGCCGAATACTCTCCGAGCCCGGTCAAGAACTTGCTTTCTTGAGTTTAACTTACTTCCCCGTAAGCTAAACCCTAAACCCCAGACCTGGAGTCATGAGATTTTAAGAGGTTCGGGGTCTGCCCAGCCTGAAATCCCAAACCCTAAGCCAGCTTGAGAGGTACCAGCTATGTAATAAGGACCTGTCAACTTGTCGGTATAACCCATATTACAAAACTGTATGAGGAACATAAGTCACGGATAAAGCCCAACTCCAAACCCTAGCTAAACCCCAGCCCCCAAACCCTAAACTATACTTTGCTTATGAACTCCAAAAGAACAAATAATTATATTCCCCATATTAACCTTAATAAGGAATAGTTTTTGTTTTTTCCGGGTTCTCTTAAGCAAGTAGTAGCAAACGCCATCCCACAGGCCAAAGGGCATGAAGGCATAGTCGGTGCAGGAGCTCATCAAGTTGATGATGCTCAGGAGGCTGCTTGCCCAGTGAGCTGCGCCCAGGGCGACCTTATGAAAGATGTGGGTGCAACCCCACGGGTTTCGGGGTTAGGGTTTAGGTTTAGGGTTTAGGGTTTAGGGCTTAGGGTTTAGGGTTCAGGGTTTAGGGTTTAGGGTTTGGGGTTTAGGGTTTAGGGTTGAGGGGTAGTCGTTCAGGTTACGATGTGTGTTGCAGATCTGTTTCGGGTGCCTGGAAGCTTTGGAGCAAGACTGCGATTCAGCCGTGTTCAAACATGCGCGCGAAGATCTGAAAGGAGCACGGCAAAGGTTACAAGTTTATAAGGTTACCAGAGATTAGGGTTTTGGGGGGAATGCTTCGGGCCAGAAAGGATTTGGAGTACGGAAGAGCTTGCACAGGAGTTTTCAGGACTGCCGTGCTCCCCCTTAGAACTCGAAATCTGAATTACCACCATCCCCCAGAATCTGAAGAAGTCACGTTGCTAGGCCCTCATTCTGTCAAGCATCTGGCAGGACCCAGGCCATGCCATGCCAGGGACGCTTGGGGTTCACGAAGCGCCCGAACCAAGCGTTTTGGGACAGTTGCAGGAAGGTCTCCTGGGAGGAGAGGTCCTCTACTTGGAGGTTCCTAACCACATAGTATTTGCTCTTATAACCCAAGTATAACTTGTAGCCATATGAGGGAAATTAAGGGGCTTCTAAGTGGTCTCCTGGGAAGAGAGGTCCTCAAGCAGCTCCTTGATGTACTGAAGGAAAGTCTCGGTGAAGACCGGCAATGAGAGCAGCAACGAGACGGCGTTGGTTGCCAAGACCGTGGCAGGAGGAGCTCGTGCTTGGAACCCTTCAGGGCAAAGTTCTTCAGTATGTCATCCTCGACACCAGATCCAAAGGTGCGAGCACCTCCATATCCGACGGCGACATACAATGCAAAGGAAATCAGCACGGACGTCGCTCCAATGATCCGAACTCTGCGGTGAACAGGCACCCCTTGGACGAAGTGTCCTTCATCGTCCACCACGTCGCATGCAAAAAGAATGTACTCTGCACTGCTGAACGTGAAGACCAAAGACGGCCCATCTTCAACGATCAGCTTGCCCCATGGCTTTGGAACTGGTAGATGAGATGGCGACGGTTCCAGGTAGAAAATACCAATGATTAGGAAAAGCAGGGCTCCATTTGCAAGCAGGCTATCCCAGCCATCAACGTGGCCACCCAGGCAGGTCAACAGGCACATGCCACCCAGCCAAGCGGCTGCTGTTGCAATTGCTTCCGGGGAAGCGGCTTCTTGCATCACGGCATCGTACACGTCCATGATGGCCTTTCCGTACATCACAAAGACTCCGAACGCGTTCAGCACCACCAATACCTGCACCATTGTTGGGTGCCAGAATAGGTTCCTTCTTGGGTTTAAGTATTCATAAAGATGCAAAATGATTTACAACAGTGACCCAGAATACCCTCAGAGCTATGGCCACATGTGGCCCCAGCATGGCCGACACGAGGCCGCACAAGGACGCCTTCACGGGCACCTGACAGAACGCAACAATTCTGTACCTCTGAAAATTCTTCGCCCCTTCAAAAGGTAAACCCGCATACCAGGCTTCTCAACTTTATCAAGGCCGTATAACCATAACCCCCCATAAAGCCTCTAGAGTCTAGAAGGCCCTTAAACCCCTACAAAAGACAACCAAGAACCCAAACGTGTCCTGAAGCCGGTTGTCGGGTTCAAGGTTTACAGAGAAATTACTTACGGTTTACAGGGCTTGCCAGTTTACAGAGAATTTACATACGGTTTACAGTCTCAGGGCCAAGTTTGCAGGGTATGGGCCTTAGGGTGCCGAAAAGGGAGGGGCTTCGCGGTTGATCCGCAAGCATCAAGCCGCCCCATCATGTTAAGGCCTTCAGGGGCCTCAGGAAGTCGTGCTTTGGGGCTTCTAGGATTTTGGGGTGGTTTTGGGGCTGCCGGAATCGAAGGTCTTGGGAGTTTGGGTGGTGTTAGGATCTCGGAATCGTTGGTTTCGGGCTTACTTAGGATTTTAGGGGTTGGGGTTCAGGGTTTTAGGGTGCTCGGCTGTGCTCAGGATAGTTACAAAGGGCCCTTTCCGCGGGCTCAGATTTTGGGACCATCCTGCTAGACGTCTGATAGAGCCCAAGGGCCTTAGACTGTTCATCAATCCACAGTGTGCAGGTTTGAGGCTTGAGGGCTCGGGGTTTAGAGCTCAGGTTTTGCAAGGGGCTGAGGGCTTGGGATTTCGGCTTTCGGGATTCAAGGTTTACAGGGAAAAGTTGCAAGTGCAATGTTCAGGGTGTAGGGTGAACCGTTTGGGGTTCAGGGTGTAGGGGCGGACAGCACGGGTGTCCCGCCGACTTCAGGGCTTCAGAGCTGAGGAACAAGGAAGCCGCCCTGAAAACCTGATTCGGAAACTGAAGCCTCGATCTGTTCACAGGAAGGCGGACCTAGCGAACCCCTATAGGCCCTAACTCTGACACACTGGGTAGGGGACTCTGTACTCCCATTGGAACCTCAATACAATTGATATTGTTAACACTCCCTTGGGCTTTATATTATACCCTCAACCCTAAACCCTAAACCCTAAACCTTAAAGCCGAAATTAAAACATGGAAAGAAGGCTATAGGACTAGGAGACTCTGGAGAATGAAGGGGGCTAAAGAAGTGGGCTGATATGGCGCCTGACGCTGCTGAGCCACCAAGGCAACATCAGCCAAGTTCTCCTCACAAGGCATAAGGGTGGAAGGGCTTAACTGGGGTTTAGGGTTTAGGGTTTAGGGTTTGGGGTTTAGGATTTAGGGTTTAAAGTTTAGGGTACTAGGGTACTAGGGTGTATTTAGGAACGTAGGGCCTCGAGTTGTGGTTCCTCGCTTTTGGAGTTCCTACTTTGTGGCCATTATAGTTTAGTAATGCACTTGGGGGCTGAATACCCTAGCCCAAAAAAAGTTCACCTTTTATATATAGTAGGATTCTATGTTACTTACCCAGTCCCTAAGGAGCTAGGTACCCAAAGCAGGAACTACACTTGGGGGAGCGGGGGTGGTGGGTTTTCAAATGTTTCGGGCTTACGCCCAAAATGGACAGATATGGTCTGACACCTCATGTTTACGAAACAGAGAGTTTAGACTTTTTCAGTGAACCCTAAACCAACCCTAAACCCTCAACCCCAAACCTTAAACCCGGGTTCAGGGTGTCGGTTTTTGCGTTCAAGACTGGGGCCTGCACAATGCTAGATAGATGGGAAGGCAGGTTGCCTGTCACTTCAGGGGCAGGCCTACTAGGGTTGCTAGGGCTTAGGCTGTATTTTGAGGGTTTATTAAGCGAACAATACATCAGGGTCTTGAGATATTTACCGCCTCTGTGTCCTGAGCCCTTGGCATCATCGACACTTTTGGATTGCGGAGCATAGGCCGTTTTAGGGCTCGTGTTGTGCTCGGCTAACGCCTTGGGTTCCCTGAGCCCCCTAACCCTAAACCCTAGTTCTAGGTTGCCCAGGAACCTAGGATTGAAAAGGCTGCCCTTTTTGGCTTAAAGGGGTCTTTAAGGGAACCTACACCCCAAAAAAAGGGAATCAGGGTACTACTGGGCATCCCAGAGTTGAACACCAAGGATCATAGACCAGCAGAGTCAGTGCACCGCAGCAGGCAAGCAAGAGGAACAAACCTTCCAAGCCACCTTCCACCGCCACCTGTGTTGGGGCTTGGGGCTTATAGGGTGACATCCAGGGAGAGGTTTAGGTGCCAGGGCTGTGATTTCAAGATTCTGGGCCGCCAGTGCATCTACAAGCCGAAGAAATCTGCCCGGAACATACCCAAAGCAGAAAGCCCCAAGGAGCGGGATCCTCAAGCTTTCACTTGCACGGGATCGTCTTTGCTAGGGGCTACGGGGCCAGGAGGCAGGTTGGAAAGTTCAGGTTTGGAGCTTTTAGGGTTTAGGGTTTAGGGTTACTCAGGCCGGCTTTGCAAGGGCGTCCCGGCAGACAGCCCTGAACCCTCAAAGCCCACACGAACCCGAAGCGCCCTGAACCCGAAAACAAGAACCTGGAGTTGGAGGTCTTCAGGCTTTGTGCTGAATTCATAAGCTTGGGGATTCGGAATGATTTGGAGTTTAGGATTAAGTTTAGTGATTTGGGTTTGGGGCTGTCAAGTCACCTTGGGCATGACGTACAAGGACCCGCCCAGGTGGAAGTTCACCAGCCGCATCACGGCACTCAACCACATGGCGGCAGAATGAAGCGAGAGACAAAAAACCAAAGAACCCAATTTTGGGATATTGAGTTCAAGGCCTGTCACGGAACCCCAAGCCAATGATTCTCATTGAAGGAAAATTAGACAACGGATCTGAATATGCTTTAAGGACCATTCGTGAATATTCAAGTCTTGGGCTCGCTGGGAAGTCGAGGCATTCGGATTGAAGCGTGTTCACGAAGCTTCGCTTTGAAGGCTGCCTTGGTCGGTTTTGAAGGCTGTGTGGCTTCCAAGTCCTTTGAAAGGAGCCAAGGACTCAGATCGCCCAAAATCAACACCCCCATAAACCCTTTTAAGGACTTTTGTGGGGGTTCGTTCCCTAAGTCCCTAGAAGAACATACCAGGAAGGTGAAGCAGGAGTACTCTCGCCACTCGAAGCACTCCAATATGTCTCGTGGAACGCCTTCAAAAAATAGCTTTCATATAACCCCGCTGCTCCCGCCCTGATACCTGGCGGAACCAAGGCACTTGTGCGGAAGCGAACGGACAGCAATAGCAGATGTGGGGCTCGTGGTTCAGGGCGTAAAAGGGCTCAGGCTTTTGGGCTTAGGGTTTAGGGGTTGGAGTTTCAGGAGAGTTGAGGGAAATGGGCTTGAAAGGCGTAGGCTTTCGGGGGAACCATGAACCCTGAACCACGAAAGCTCCGGATTTCGATTAGGGGCTTGAAGGATTTTGGTGGTGGTTGAGATTTTGCCGTGGCTTTGATGGGTGTTTTTGGGCGGGCTTTCGGCATTTTTTGTGTTTTGAGGATTTTATGGGAATTATGGGCCCAGGGTACCCGTTTGGTAGGAGACTGGCATGGCAACATCACCTAGGTCCATCTGGTGTAGTCCCAAGAACCTCTCCAGGATCTATACGCCCTGTACCTGACCAACCTGCGTGTTCAGCTCTCCTTCATTCAGGACTGTTGCTGTGTGCCCAAAACAACCCTGAACAGACCATACAATACCCTAAACCCCACCCTAAACCCTAACCAAACCCTAAATCCTAAACCCTAAACCCTAAACCCTACCCCAACTTCTTAGAGGGCAAAAGTGGAATCTAGGCCCTTGCCCCGCCCCGGATGGGCACTGAAGACTGCAGCAGTCGCAGCCATGGAGGAAGGGCGGTCTGCACAGCATGCTTAGGGGGTAGCGTTTCGGGTTTAGGGGTTAGGCGTTAGCGTTTAGGGGATCAGGGACGATCTCTTCCACCCGACTGTAGATTCCCTACCTTCAGAACCCCAAAACACTACTTCCTCCTTGGTAGGTTGCTATCACTCATGGTAAGACGGCAAGGACTGCGAAAAAGTTGCGGGTTCTTCCACACAACCTAGCCTCTCCAACTCTACAGCCTCCTAAGTCAAAACTGCCCCTGTTGATTTAGGGCTTTGGGTTTAGGACGTGCGCTGTTTAGAGTTTGGGGGACCCGAATAAAAACCTGAAGCTCTCAACCCTGAACTCCGAACGGGAAGTCTGAACTGTTCCCCACAACCCCTTCTCAAGCATCTAATGTCTGAAGGGTTGTCTTGGGGTGAGGCTTAGGATTTGGAGGATACTTATAACCCCAACTATGAATCTACTTAAAACCTACTTAGGGGACTTATATAAGTACAGTTTGAATTGGGGTTACAAGTGCCCTGAACCTCCAAGTAGGATTGTAGGATGCAGGCTCTTGGATTTCAGGGGCTTGTTTCAGGGGTTTAGGGTTTAGGGTTTAGGGTTTTCGGACTTTGGGTCTTGGCATTTTGGGGTTGCGTACAGGCATGGAGCTGGGAAAAAGGCTTTAGGGATACGTCCCTTCAAACTCCTAAAAGGCAGGAAGCGGCTGATAGTGCCCAGCTGTCGGCACTCTAAGCCCCACACCGAAACCCTAAACTCCAGGGTCATAGAGGTTGGAGTTTTGGGGCTTAGGGTAGGGCCCCCTCTCAAGCCCCAAAGGACATATAGGACTGAGGCCCTGCATCCCCCCGCAGCATGTTCTCATGCCATCAGCTTAAACTGCCTTCTTGGTCCATGTGCTGCATTGGGCGTGCGTGTAGCTCATTTCGGGACGCCTCATGTGTTAACAAAGGCTGCATGCAGCTGTTGCAAGCGATCCTGTGCACAGGCAAAAGGTCAGCCGGCTCAACTTTCCGCGACTGCTTGCGACTCTAGCGTTTTGCTCGGTTGCAATCAGTATTCAGAAAATGCGAAGCATCCCTAAAGCCCTATAACCCTATACCCTACACTCTACACCCTAAACCCAGCCTGGCAGCCAAGACCTTCCCCTGTGCAACTTGGGGAGGAATGCCGCCGAAGCTTGGCCCACGAGCCTAAAAACCCGAAAGGCCAAATCGGCCCTAAAGGGTTTAGGGCTTAGGGTTTAGGATTTAGGAGCCTGGCACCACAAAGCCCCGAAAGCCTTTAAACGTGTTCGTGCCAGTGCCTCGGAGGGAGCGGGGATGCAGCGTGAGCCCACTGAGTGGCCCTGAGGGTTGAGGGGCTTCGAGGGTTGTGAGGCTGGATTCGTGTTAAGGAACTGAAACTAAGTTCCCCAAAAAAGTTTAGCAAAGAACGTCCTATCCCTAAATGATTGGTACCCTAGTCTTAAAAGTCCTGGGCGTTGGGACGCTGGAACTCGCAAATTGTCTCTGCTTTTTGCCGGAGGGCGGGAGTTTAGGGGGTTGACGGGCTTGGGGCTGCAAGGGCATGAGGACGATGTAAGTTGTTTCAAGGTAGAGACCACCAGCGCATGATGTTACTGGGTTGAGGGTTTTGGGGTTTTGGGGTTGAGGGGTGTAGGGGTGTAGGGGTTTAGGGGTGCTGAGGGCTTGGGATTTTTTTGGATTAAGAAAGGGCTTTGTAGGCCTAAAGGACATAGGCTTCATAGGGCTACTTCAAGAGTTTTCAGGCTTACTTAAGATCACTAGGGTTGATCATGGTTTGCCCAAAATTCCTGTGTGACTTGAGATTATTCCGAGATTGTGATTTTTGGTTTGGGCTACTTGGTAGCAATTGCAATAAGGGCACCCTTTTTGGGTTGCAGAAGTAAAAAAAGAAAACAATGTAAAGGGTACCACTGGGCTACCAAGGCTAAATGATGGACACACGCAAGCTGATGCTGACAAATTGAAGCCCAGGTCAGGGTTTGGGGGGGGGGTGGGGACTTATCCCGGATTCCAGGAGCCTTCTGCAGCTGCGGGCCCTCTGCCTCCTCAAGGACCTGTCTTGCAGCTCACGGTTTAGGGTTTAGGGTTTCGGGTTTGGTGGAGGTGAGCGGGGGGCGGGGGGGCGTTAAACCCTGAAAAGGCCTTAAAGGTTTTCGGGGCCGGTGAGGGCCCCCCAACATCCCCAACAACATCCTGAACTGAGGTCCTTACTTTGACTGACACCTTAGACTCTGAAAACCATTCCTCAAGCCAGGTATTAGATGCTTCGGATCTTCATGGCCCTGCCAGCAAAGCACCAGCGCTCAGGTTTAGTTGTCCATGGATTGGAGATCGTTGGCTGAGGGGCTGCCTCGGACTCTTTTTTACCCACAGTCTAGTAGGAACTAACCCCTTCAATTAATAGGTAGAAACCCGTTAAGCTGCAGGTAACCAGGGTCCCAGGTAAGGGATTTAAAATTTTGGGGGTTGCCGGCTTGAGCCATCACTTGATGGAAGCAGTTGTGTACTCACTTTGGTTGTTCGGGGTGGCAAGAACCGAGGGCAACAAGCAATACCCATGGTGCACCACAGCCTTCACCCCGACTGATGCACTTCCCTAAACCCTAAACCCTAAACTCTAAACCTCCAAAGCAACTAAACCCTAAACTCCCTAAACCCTGACTCTAAACTCCTAAACCCTAAACAACTGAACCTAGACTCCCTAAACCCTAAGCCCTTCTCCAGCAACCCGTGAAGCTCCGGCGTTGATGCGGCACCAAATGCCTTCAGGCTTCAAAGCGATGCCCACCTCATAAACCTTAAATATTTACCCTAAACCCGAAGCCCTAAACCCTAATCCCTAGCCCCTAGCCCTAAACCCTATAAACCCTACCTTATCAACCAGGGCCTTCTCTCCTCTTTTGCAGCGTATCGAATTTTGAAAAACATTTTTCAAGATGTCGCCTAGGTGAATGTTCGGCGTTCGAAGCTAACGCACGAATATAGAACATGCACGGTGAGGGGGTTTTCCTGTTTCAGGGCCTTGGGGTGTAGGGCTGGCATTTGCATGAAAGACAACAGTGCTTTTGTGCGAAGGGAAGGCTCCCGGTTGACAGTTGTAAACCGCGTAATCTTAGATTTACGATGCCTTAAGTGGATTCTTCGCATTATCGCCAGAGTTTGCGTTTTTCGCGCGGCGTCAGCGGTTGGTCAGGCAAGATGGCTCGGGGTGCTACGATTTACTAGACGAAGTCCCACGCCTGGGCAATGCGTGGCAAGGATGTGGGGGTTTCCGACATTCGGGGGACCTGATATTTAAGGTCCTTGTTTGAAGGGAACCCTACTCCTGCTATTTGGGGGGTCCAAATTAGGGTCCCCAATTTTCGTAAACCACCTATTATGTCGGGGCTTTACACAAGGGTAGATCGGGGTTTCACATGAAAGGGCCGGCAAGGAACTAAAAAAAGACATAGTGGTTTCCGAAGGGCACCTTATTTGGGGTCCCTATTTTATAAGGGAACCCTACTATTTGAGGTCAAAATCAGGGGTCCCCTGTTTTCGTAAGCCACCATGTGAACTTCAAACTTCAATTTTAGAAGCGTCGAAGAGTCGGTTCTTCAAGCTCAAATTAGATAGGGCAGCTACATAAATTCTGCTTCCTTTTGGGGCATCTTGAATCCTAAATATGTAAAGTCCACCGTCCAAAAACAACCCACAAATCAGGACGATGATGTGGACGGCTGCCTACACACTTACGGCTCCACGCGGGCATTCGCAAGCATCCTCCATTGAGCTTGCATATGAGCATCAGCATGTTCATCTTGCTCGAACATCTGACGCAAAGGCTTTGAAACGCCAGGAAAGG